ACTTCACCTACTTCAGAAGTTGCACTAGCTCAACGAACTGGTTGCTGACAAAATATCAGCTCTGATACAGAAGGCTGTCTGGCATTTGCTAGCATGCTTCACCTGTGGTGCCGACTGGTGAGATATCCGACTATCTACCAATGGACGAGTATATTGCGCTGCAGTCCGTTCTGTCCTGTTATAGGGCTGTGAGATATGGCCGCTAAAAGTGAAGGACACGAAGCAACTACGAGTGTCTTAACGGCATTGCTCGCGTTTGGTGGAATGATCGTATGAGCAGTGTTGAGGTCAGGCGAAAGGTACTACGCAAGTGAAGGAAAGCAATCTATGAGGTTGTGAACTTTCATCGACTGAAGTGGCTGGGACATGTGCTGAGCATGCTGACCCACCGTCCATCACAAGGTACCATGCTAGGGGAAGTCAAACTAGGTTGGAAGAGAGTTCAGGATGGCCAGACTAAGATGCGGTACCAGTTGATGAGGTCCCTAGCTGTTGGTCTGAGTCGCGTAGGGAGACAGATGCTACTCGACTGGGGTACCTGAGACGAAAAGAATCAGTGGTTGAGGACTCTTGGTGGTATTGTTGAAAATCAGTCACAGTGGCGCAGATGAATTCACTCCTTAGCTTGAATATTTGCGCGAACATTTATCTTCGAATTGTTTATTGTCTCACACAACTTTGTCTACTTTGGTATCACTCTTTATATCCACCTGCTCTATGCATACTACTGTGAAGTGTGGCAAATTGAACCGATGCACTTGTGTGCAAGGTTCTGAAACGGATCGGTGAAGAGGTTCCTGAAAGTAGCTTACATTAGAGCGTTTTAACAGTGACTCATTTTTAAGACAGTTTGCATGTTGATTACTTATGTCAGCCAAATCTCATTGTCTTAATGAGAACCATTTCCCTTTAAAAATTAATCGGTTCACACACATAGTCATGTCTGGACATATATTTTTTTCGCTGGCTGATCAGGGTTGGTTGCGTAACAGGTGTTATGTAATCCGGCTTGGATCACAAAATCAAACGTAAAGACAAAATAAAAATTCCTACCAGTTAAAATGTCCTGAATTCCCTACCAATAAATAAACGAATAATAGAAGCAATGCGTAGTAATTAGGCTTTGTTCAAAGGAAAATCGGACACAAAAATGCAGAAATATCAAAGATATTCTGCCAATGACGACTTACAACACGTTATTGTTATAACTATTAAATAACAAATAAATTGTATAGTTTAAGCTAAAACAAAGTAAAATAATAGGAACGATCAAATAGACGCACGATAATTCATTTACGTGTTTTTGGGACTGAGTAGATTAAAGTACTTTACTCTAGTTCTCACTATAGACAGATATCAGCTGAAGAAATGTGGGGAACATGGAAACACTGAAGTTGGGATATTTTCATTCTTAACCGTCCAATATTTTATTCTCATGAGCCATAAACTGCAAAGAAGTGTCCACACTAAATAGACTAAATAATTTTTCTCTAGTAACTCATTAAATTCCTCCGCCCTTTAAAGTGAACTACTAGTTATACAGGGAACATAACCTACCTTTGTTTTAACATCCCCCCCCCCCCAGTAAAGAGACTTAGAATAGTAATAGTAATAACAACAACAATAATAATAATAATAATAACACCAGTATTAATATGCACTTTATAAATGCGTGCTCTCATATCTACAAGACTTTTCGTTGTAAAAAAAACTACCAAAGCTTCCTGAGGATAATCGTAATACAAAATGTACAAAACCCTTATTTTGTAAGGAATTAGTCCGAAAGAACTCTGGGAACTCTCAAAATAAATGTTCATTATTATATTCCTCAGGATATTTAACGTTGGAGGTTTGTGGGATTTATTTATTGATTTCAGGTTGATGTTCATCATGAACAGACATCAGTTGGAAAAACATTGGAAAATTAGGGGCACTGGACGGCCATTTCGTCCTTGTACAAGGCTCCTCATCAGTGGGTACCTATGACCCCACCAGGAATCGAACCCAAGACCTTCAGGTTCAGGACCAGGTTGACCACTTCGACTATTTGGGGAGTTGCACTAGCTCAAATGAACTGGTTGCTGACAAAATATCAGCTCCGATACAGAAGGCTGTCTGGCATTTGTCAACATAAGTCACCTGTGATGCCAACTGGTGAGATATCTGACTATCTGTCAATGGACGAGTACACTGCGCTGCAGTCCGTCCTATCCTGCTATGCGACTATGAGACATGGTCGTTAAAAGTAGATATGAAGCGGTTACAAGTTTTCGACCACACATATTTTCATGGCATTCTTCGAGTTTGGTGGAATCTTTGTGTGAGCAGTGTTAAGGTCAGGTGAAGGGTACTATGCAAGCGAAAAGAATCGGTCTATGACTTTGACCTTCATCGACTGAGGTGGTTGGGACATATACTGCGCATGCCGAACCACTGCTTACCTCGACGTGCAACGTTAGGGAAAGTTGGATTAGTTTGGAAGAAGGCTCAGAGTGGCAACATCAAGACGTAGGTCCAGTCCATAAAGTTTGTGACTGTTAATCTGAGCCGTGTGTGGGGTGTATACTGCCTGGCTGTTCCTCGAGACGACAGGAATCAGTGGATGAGGACTTTTGATGACATGAGTGAAAATCGGTCACAGTGGAGCATATGTATTCACTTCTTGAAATCTAAAGCTTGAATATTCCCGCTAACATTCATTTTCAAATTGTTTATTATCTTAAACCATTTAATCTACTTTGATATCACTTTTGTCTATCCTCCTATTCCTTTTGCACTACTATAGAGGGCGGCAACTTGAGCTGATGCACTTGGGTGGGAGATTCTATGTTGATTTTGTCAGTGTCAGTCTTTAAAGTCGCCTGGTATAATGACTTCACCTGAACATTTTGCTTTCTGTAACAAAACTAACAGCTTCTCTTAAAATTCATCCGGTGCATCATCCGAGCTACACTCGGTGGGTGCGTAGGCAGAGATTACGAATAGGAGTCGCCTAGTCCCATGACTCTTCCTACGACTCACTGATTGATTCAGTAGAACTGGTATCCAACCGAGAAGTGCACTTTATGCCCTACAACGCGATGCTATACCAGTGAGTCCATGAGAGCTAATCACTGGGATCTCCAGATACTCGTAAGAAGAGGATTCACTACCACTTCGGTCAAAAGAGGTCAATTTGTTAACCACACCCGGGTGCTGTATACGTGTCTCAGAGACAACATACACTCATGGCTAGAGACTCTAGAGTTCTGGTGAGCGATGTTTGCTGTCCGATTCAGCAGAGGGTTCCTACATGCAATCGGTGGAGGGTTCTTAAAAAACTAGAATGAGATATCGATGGCTTTGATCATTGGCAGTGGTCTCAGAGTGAGAGGATGAGGAGACTGTAAGAGGCTTATTATTAGTATCAGAGGGTGAAGGCGAAGGAGGAGATAGAGTTGAGGAAGATAAGTTGTTTGATTGGGTCTTGGATACTACTGGAAGTGTAATGGGCGATTAAAACTTCCGGGCTGCCCATACTGTGGAAGGCCATTTCTTCTTAAAGTACCTGGAAGGGAAAAATATATGTGACCACTGGGTCCGTATGACATCTGCTTGAGGCTCATCACACACAGCCTCTTGAGGGTTGCTGGTGTGATATTTGATTGTTCCAACGCCGTACAGAAAAACACCCGTAGCGCCTGCACCGGAAAACTGTGGTGTAGTAAGGAGCGTGCAGTTTTTAGGGCCAACCTTTTATAACTCGCCTTTCCTACAAAGAAGGAAGGATTAGTGTGGTACTGTTGGTCATCTAAGGGAAACATCTTACTGCTGTCACACCCATCCAGCTAGCAGTGGTACGCCATCAGACCTCCATCATAGTGTAGTAATTTACGCTACACCGGTAACTGCCTTTCGTCTTACCACGGTAACACATCTTTGTGGTATGGCAGGACCCCGAGGAAACAAGTGTTCCACTCAAAGTAGGTCGCTGGGTCGTTGTGATATACAAGCCCGACCACCGATTCAAGGTAGCAGTTATAGATCTGGGAGACATAACAGAGATATATTTTTGGAAAAACTAGGCAAAGAACTGTAAAACTAAACCTGTTAACACAAAAATGTCAAGCGGACTTGGAGTAGATGATCATAAAAGCCTACCACTAGCGTCCGAAAATAATATTTTTTAAAACGGTTCTCTGAATCATAATGTGTCAAGTGTCAGTATCCAGGAGACCACTTGAAAGACCTCAGAACCCATTAACATTATGCTGAGCTTACAAAAAAATTGTGTGGTAGAGATTGATTCCCTTAACTTGGGCATAACATTTTAGAATGCATCCCATATAATGTGTGATAGTACTTAATCAAAGAGGAACAGCAGCCAAAAACGAAATAAAACTCGAAAACAACTAAACTCGACAACCTTCCGACTGTGAAAACTTGATTTGTTTCGGAAGCTAAAAAAATCAAAAGGATGCAAAACATTTCAACCACCTGAATTCCCAGTTATATTCAAAAGCGATTTTCGCAGGAAAAATGTACAGAAGCGGTGAAAATACTATGAACAGGAAAAAATAATCTGAAAAAAAGCAGTGAACATATTGCAAAGTGCGACGGTTCACTTGGAAAAGCGAACTGTTTAGTTCAGTGGACTGTGACACTACTGCTCAAATTTTAGCAGTAAAGATTTAAATAAAAGCTTCAACGCCATATTATTGATACCAGTGTAAAACGACCAGAAGGAGACTAATCATAGAGGAAATTCTCATGAATCAACTCCTAGTAGTTTTTTACGAAAAAATATATGAAGTTCGGAAATGTATAATTATTTCGTCAGAAATGAAGGAAAAGCAGCCTGCAAAAAGTGAATGCCTATGGTTAGTTTTTCAGAGTTGTATGGCTTACACTTCCAGATGAGAAACAACTCCGAAATCAATAACCTAAAGAATTTTAAATACAAAAATGTCTTGCGAGAATAAAAAAGATAAACAGTTGTTGATAAGCAATGATAATCTCACCTTTTCCAATTTGCTTGCGGGCGTTCTCGACAGCTAGGCTCCTGTTGATGTTTGATAGAAAGCCTAAGGAGAATCGACCACTATCCCGACCAGGATTGGTGAATCCATCAACAATTATACTGGGTATGCTAGCAAAGTAGGCCTCACCAATGCGTGAATTTAACTCATAATACACAATACTGCACCAGTATTTTGGTTCTTGATAGTTTACGGCATGAAATTCTATTATAACATATAAAATGAATAAAATCAAGTATAATGATTCACAGGTAAACGTGTGCATTATTGATACTGGGTGATGATTGGGTGTGAGATGGAAATTTGGGCTTCAGTGGGATTCAAACCAGTGACCACCGTGTTTCCGGTCTGCTGCTGTACTAACTGCGTCTGGTAGTCGAGGACCAGACTGGAAACCCGGTTGTCACTGGTCTGAATCCCATCGCGGCCTAAAATTTTCATTTCACTTTTAATCATCACGCAGGATTGATACTAGTAAGTTAAACCACCGCTATCTCTCTCGACTAATCAAGTTTAAAATTTTATCTGGTTGTTGGTAAACGACAGACATGTATAACTGTGAAATTCACAGATCAGTATGAGTGTTCTCCAAATACACATGCTGCTCAGTAGTATATTTAGGGTAAAACTCATTCTCAAGGGAAGCGAATGCATTTGCATGATTACAAGATTAGAAGGCTTGATAGTTCACAGTCTTAACTAAGCCAGCTAATTAGTATCTAAGCAGGTTCAGCTAGATTTAGAATGTATAGAAAACCTACATGTTGAAGCTGCCTTTTTAGGTAGATTCTTGACAACACCTATAAACCACAAATAAGATGAGAAATCCAGTTTTTAAAAAGGTAGATGCAAATGAGAAAGCAAATTTTATGGGAAATGATATAGATATATTTAGAGATTTTACCTCATTTTGACTACATAAAACAAAGGGTTGATGAAACAAATGTGACTTCTTAGAATCAAGTTTTTGGTATATGTTCGAAAATTGCGTTAGAATGTTATTTCGTTCTATCGGCTCCAGTATGTAGTTATACACTAAGGGTGTTGAGAACCAATATCACGTCAACTTTTAACAAAGTGCTTGAGTACGTCATTGAAACAATGGTAGCTCATGAACACAGCTATTCTAACCCATATGTTTGTTCTCACTGTAGTATAATCACCCTTTAGGCTGAATATTACGGAAATTGGCTTTTTTCAACTGCGCCACATCCTTCGTTTCTTATGTTGTTCGAAAGAGTTTCAGATAGTGTCGAGTATACATCCTTCAACCAACTTCAGTTCAGATTAAAACTTCTCTTGGCAAGACAAATTTTTTATGTTTGATAAAGCACTTTTATAAAACCTCTTAAAATTGATTGAACATCAACTTCTGAAGTTCAGATGCTGATCCCTATAAAGCTTTGTAATGAATATCGCTCTAATCTATACCATCCCTTGAGCAAAAATGGCGCTCAATTAGTCTTTTTTCGCAATCCATCGAAAACTTGGTGTTATGATAAGCATTATGAAAACCTTAAACATATTTGCTGCTTGGTCGAGACTATGGCGGTTGATAAAGTGGTTGTCGAGAGACCTCCGATAAAATCTGGGTGTTTCAAACTCAGGTTACAAGGCAGCTTTTTCCAAAAGGCAGTAAATATACTAGTCAATGTTGATTCTAGTGGACTTAAAATGGTTATCCTACCTAATGGTTTACATAAAACGCCACTGAACTAGAATTGCAATTATCTGATACGTGTGAGTAAAATACGTTTAATCTTTGGTATCGGGATACTTTAAGTATATTGATAAACTGTGAGGTATCTTCGAAGATTTAGCTGGTATATTTTCTCATTAATTATCAACGCACCAGATCGTTTGCCAATTTCTGAAAACAACGCAGCACAGTTTGACGTTTTTGGGGACAAATTTGGAATGGTTTAGCTACTTGAACCAGTAATGAGGAGCCCTGTCGACTAATTTAACTTCAAACCACTCCTTCATCCCTGAATTTCCACATTTTCGCTTACTTACCTCCTGATACAAACTTTTAGAGTGAGGCCACCAATTTCAGTCACTAGGTCATTAGCACATGAGCAATTCTAATACAGATAAATGACGAGCAATAAGTTACAAGAAACAATAAGACATAGTTTATCTGAGGCGTGAAGTATTAGTTCAACACGTTTCGAACATTCTGGCTACACAATTAGTTGCCATGCATATTTATACAGATTAAAACAAAGGATAAGTGGGTTTAAAAAATAATCGTACAACACAGGTTGAATTGTCAGTTTAGATGGGAAGAGGAAGACAGTACATTAGTCACCCTTGTATTAGAGCTGAGTTACTAAGATACGCTTAATATAACAACAAACTATTTCCGATTGCATAAAAGAAGTCGAAACTTTCTCACACCCAGAGTTTCGACAAACATAGTATGCATCCCCAATCAGTCTTGTAAATAGGTTCAAAAATCAACATTGTGACTTGTTTCAACTATATGTTTAGTTATAGACGAAGCTGGACATCTGTTGTCACAGCCAATGGGATCACTTGGTCTGATTTGTTGTAGCCATTATGGAATATGCTCTGTGACCACTAATTGCATACATCGACCAGTCCCCACTATTCATGTGTGACTACATGTAAATGTAGACGGAAAAACGCAATCGGATGTCACCTCACTGTTCAAATGCCGCAACAGCTTACAGGAGTACAAAGGTTCCACTTTCCCATCAATGTTGACCTTTGCTGCAAAGTATGTTCTCTAGACGGCTCTCTCAAGTCTTTGTTTGGTTATCAGACTCTGTTAATCACCCGTGTACGGCAGGGTGATGCAGAGATCTTCTCTGAAACTGACTGAACAATGAATCTTCTCTTTTTTGCATTCCTGTTGTGATTAGCAAATCTCAGAGGATAACTGCATGATAATAATTCGATTAGCTTTTGCGTTCCTTTCTCTAGTGTCATTTTGCATTTCATTTAAATCCGGTTGACCAGACACTCGAGTAGTGCCCTTCACACTGAAGTACTAATTTAGGTACTGTCCCGCTTCTGTGGATTACCTAAAGATGAAGTTTTATTTACCCATCTTGCCAGAGAGTTACATGAATATCTAAGAGTGGTGGGTAGTCATTTTTTTCTGAATCACATGTTAAGAATACAATAATCTAAGCTTCATTCATTCAATTGAGAATCTAAATAGCAGCTTTCGGCGTATCACATGTAATCATGACTTTTCTACATATATTTTGTAGGAAGGAACTTTTGCAACCGAGTTCTCAACTACTCTCGACGTGTGACAAACTGGTATCTGCTAGCTAGGGATCTAACGAACTTCCCATGGTCACACCACTATGTGGCAGGAATGTCCACCCTCAAATGTAAATTCAACATTACTTGTACATAAAAGAATCTCCTTACGATACGAAAGAACTGACAATCGAATACTGTCGTCAGAGATATGATCATAAATTGTCGACTGTATCCAACAAAAGGGAAGTTAGTAAACAGAGAATTTACGTCAGGAGAAACCACGGTTTAGTTTTTAAGATAAGTATCATGAAGATATTCGACTAGCTCTAACACATCTTTCAAAACAAACTTGTAAAACTGTTTCTTACTGAAACATAGTCGGTCCACTAACTACTGAACAAGCTCTTGAGCTGGGGATCTGCGAATTGACATTATGGGATGAAGACTATTAAACTTTTAAATTTTCGAAAGGTTGTAAAGGTGTGGAAGCTACAATTCCACAGGTTTTAATGAATTGAAATTTTCCTCACTAGTGAAACTCACGAGGAGGAGAATGACAAGATTGGCTGTTACTTTCCCTTTTAGAGTCCGTACGGTTTCTGTAGAAGTCTCTCACAAATTTCTTCTCACCTTCGAGAATGCATATCATTCTGCGGTCATACTCACTTCTGATCATGACAACAACACCTTGAAGCTTTATCTCGTCTGAGGAATAGTGATATAATTACTAAGTTTAGGTTCTTTTAAGGCTTGGAAGTGTTTAGATGTTAAAATACTCTTCTTTTTAAAATCACCTATACAGAAATCCGAGACTCAGCTTGTAACCAATCCCGACCATCAGATGTAAGAACAAGGAATTTAAGTTGGTCATTAAAACTTTCCAGCTGTGCTTTGATTGCTGGATATAAAATTCGAATCTGAATTCAGGTTCAAGCAAGGATTCGGGAAAAACAAAGAACACATATAACAATATCATAGTGGATGACATAAATCAGTGTTATTCGGGGTCTCCAGACAATGGTGCCCAACATGTTTGGCACAAGACTCGGTAACATCATGGATACTCCAACGTTAAGAACAACTTTGTAGAGAACTGCAAGATGCTAACAAGCTGCGTGAATGTTCGGATAGATTTTGTGACTTAGGGTTTTGTCCAACTATTAGGCGAGGAAGAGACTTTTGTTACATATCGACCCCTTTAACCTTAAATTTTATTAGATTTCACCGGAGAGTAATCTTGATCGGAGTGTTTTTCATTACTGTCATCATACCAGACTATTGCCCTACTTGGACAATTTTCAGCTAGTTAATGGATAGTTTCTTTCCTTTCTAGATTAAGATTTCTTAATCCTAGAAGTTGTACGTTAATAGCTGCTTCATCTTACATCTTTTCGAAGGCTCGACTTGAAAAGAGTAGCTCAGGGGGTACACATTCGTAATAATAATACTATGTTGGCTTTACTCCGAACCGTAGTCTTGTTCACAGTGCAGAATTCTTACCATGTGATATTGCATAGGTTTACTCACAGTACAACATTTTTAATATTTATATATTAACGGTGCTGTTTGACAATGCATAATAAACAATAGCAGGATTATTGAGATGTTTAATGACTTCAGGGTTATAACTACTCGCTATTGCACAGCTGATTGATGACTATGTCTAACATGATTTTCTTCACAAAACTTATACCCTAAACAAGGTATGGTTGGACTTTTGTATTTAGCTGTGCGACTATAGAGTCTAACGTATTCGCTTCTTGTTTTCCCTGAGAACAAACGTGGAGACAGGTGAGAATGCAGAGGATGGTCATCATCAGATAAAATATTATTAACCACAACAGTTTACAACAGTTCAAATGCCCATCTACAACAGCACTGTTCACCACTGTTGGTGGTGCACTACTCACTGTACTAACAGCCTTCAAAACCCTGCGCAACACAGTATATTCCTTTTTCTAGAGTACAGGAAAGTATGAGGGATAACAATAAATAAGTATAAGCAAAAGACAAGAACTAACGAGATGTAAGAGTAGGGAGCAAGTTCTGCCAAAGTTTTTCCTCATATAAAATGTCAAGCGAAGGACTTTCTCGGAAATCAGTAAAATATGGAGTGGAAAAGAAAGATTGAACGAAAATCGCAAACTAATGTGGGTCAAATTTGATACATTCGCTAAAACAGAGCCATCAATAAGACAAGTCATGGGACTGAGGCAGTCCATATAAGTCTTGTTCATTTCTAAAGCTAAAATTAACCATATGGCATTTGCAGGGATTGAGTGTGAGGCCATTCAAAGTAGACCAGTGCCCGATTTCGGTTAGGAGGTTATTAAAATAAGAACAACCTGAAGATGAGACGATCGAGGTGGATACTGTTAGGTCATCCATGTACTTAATAAAATAAGCTTTAGTTAAAGTGGATAGGTCATGTGAAGACGAGAGAAAGGAAAAATAGAAAGAACAGCACTTTGAGGGACACCGGCTTGAACAAGTAGCAAAGCAAAGGACGTCCCTCTGTATACAGTGTACTACCTTTTTACGGTAATATAAGGATGCAACCAGTTTGCAGTCCTGAACCCAATATGATTTTTGGCAAGTTAGTTCAATAAAAAGGGTCTAGGAATAGAATCGAAACCGGAAGTGTGATCTAAAAAGGCAGATTTAGCGTAAGATGTTCGTTCAGATTGGACGTACACAAGTTAGAATCCACTTGTAATTAGTTAAGACTCAAAAGTTGGTTTGAAATCGGAAATTATACAGAAACTTATATATCAGAAGGAAAACACAAATATACGAAGCTGAAGTATGCAATTTACATGCGAAGTCACTAATAGCGCTTCAAAACCATTAAGTATTTGATGTGTACATCGTGGAAGCACTGTCCTAAAGACTACATTTGTATGTGTTATTTCTTTGTGTAAGTCAGCTTCTCTTGTGGAATACAAATGTCATGTTAAGTTGAACCTTATGATCAGTGGACTATATAGTTCAACAAGCTAAAGCCTTCTCAAATCAGTAGGATTTACATGACATAAAAATATTAGGTACAACTCATAAAAAGGCTTGTTCCGACACTCACCTGAATAACACTGTGGGCCACATGTTTGATTGTCTGTTGTCGGTTCTTTTTTGGCAGATTCAACTGTTGGGTATTCATTATGGCGAGGTACTAACACAGGTGGCAAAACTACTATGAATAGCAATGACAGAAATCATGCTTACCAGGGTAATCCACGCGAGTATAGTGGTAAGGGTTAATGCATACTTCAGTTTCTTTAGAACTAAACGGCAGTTTGCAGCTCTCTACAGGCCTCAATTCATGATGGCTCTGAAGGTCTGGCCAACGCCATACTCTACAGTAAATGACATGCGGAAATCCTTTTCGATGGGAAACCTGCCGAAATGAAACAAAAACTTGAGATAAAACCTGTATACGACCATCGAGAGATCTTGGAATTGTCACACATTCACTAGGTTCGTTAGGATGCAGCAAAGCATGCTGAAGTCTTTCCAAAACTCCCTTGCGCTTCTTCAATTTCTTAATTAGTGTCTCAATAGCTTTTTGAGCCCATTTCCCTTCTTCATCTCCTTGTTTCCATCCCAGAGAACCACATAAAACAGGGTAACCGAAATCGAAAGGCTTTTTAATGCAAACATTTGGGTCAAGCATTCTCTAGGCAATGCAACTATCAGAGCAATTATTTAAAGCCCTAAACAAAATGCGCATTTTCGTGTTTTTTAACCAAAGCGCTTTTCACTGCCCCTCGGCAGCAAATGAATCGCTCCACTAAAACAGAATAACAGTCATTAGGAAGACTATCTCATTTCTAACGTTCGAACATAAGTAGAAGCCCGAGAAATATATATTAACCTCCTAAACTGGTTCATAAGTTCTCTGAATTCCTACATGGGAAGTATCTTCCAAATAAGTAGGAATCTACAATCCAATATCCAATATCTTTTTAAAGAGCTTGTGTAAACCAGTTGATTTCTTCGCACTCGCTTCTTGGTCTCGCGGAACGGCTCCAGATCTTTGGCGGATTCCGATGCAGTAGGTCCAATAATCTTAATTAACTCAATAAACAGACAGATTTCTGGCCCTCATACTTGTGTTTCTGTGACTAGGCTCTTACTGTTTACTTTAATTCACCAGTGGTTCAAAATTCCTTTCTTCTATCCTGCGTCTTCGGGTAGGTTTGAAGGTCATCCACGGGTATGATCGTGCGTGTTATGTGCTATGAAAATGTATATCTTCGGTCAGTTGGCGAAAATATAACTGATGCACCCTCTTTCATGTCTGAAATCTGCCTGGTTTTCAGATGACAAGTCTTTATAGGTCCGATCTATCCGAGTGTTAAATATGTATTTAGACATATATTTCACTTAAAGCTGCATATTAGCAGGCACTAGAACGATAACCGATGGGGGCCACTCGGTTCCTCGAGGGCAGAAAAGTAGTGGAAAAAAATGAAGGGCTGTCGTCCAGTTGAATATACACAAAGATTAACGGCTTATAAACACTTGTTCATGGCGCTGAAAAGTTCTAAACTCTTCCAGGGAGTCCTTTATCCAACCTGGGTCTCACACATGTGGTACCACGGCTTTTTGTGATTGTTCGACATGCCAGAAACCTTTAGGCTTCTTTTGCACAGTCTGCTGGCTGTTCCCGCACTCCACAATGAAGCACTTGCCCGACTGCATGAGATGGAGTGGAGGGCTTCAATTAGCGTTATTTACCTGCTTGGTACTCCGTTCATGGTCAGATACTGCCACAACGCTCCACAGTAAACAAAATCAAACGCAGCCATCAGGTCAAGAAATACGGTGTCAGCCGCCGGTGGGTATGTCTGCGTTCTACAACCTGTTGGAGGGTAAAAATATGGGCGACGCAACCCGACCTGGCATGAGAGCTGCCCTGTTTTCTAGAGTTTATTGCCCTGAGCTCCAGTCAGGCGTCTGATAACCACTGATCTTGGATCTTGGACACACCATTAGTCAAGCTGATTCCCTTATGGTTGTCGCAATAAAATTCCTCTCGCCCTATTGGACGGGATGGTCAATGAAGTAGATTTTTCTGATGTCACTACTCCTGATTCCCATACTCTTCTCATTTACTCCATCGCCCCAATCATCAATTTTCAACCACTGTCTTCTAAAATTTCAGGTGGGAAACCGTCAGACCCTGTTGCTCTACGTGACTTGAGCTTTCTAAGCCTCAAGGGGAGTCGAAGGAACGATCTTCACACACCGCAATCTGAGACAACGTCTTACCTCTTGCCTTAAGCTGTTGCTTACCAGAAACGGTCGGTTGCCCGGACAGAACAAAAACAGACGACGGTAATGTCAGTTCACTGCATTTCCGACTGGCTCAGATTCCCCACTTAAACGTTAAAGTCGCCTGGTATTATGACTTCACCTGAACATTTTGCTTTCTGTAACAAAACTAACAGCTTCTCTTAAAATTCATCCGGTGCATCATCCAAGCTACACTCGGTGGGTGCGTAGGCAGAGATTACGAATAGGAGTCGCCTAGTCCCATGACTCTTCCTACGACTCACTGATTGATTCAGTAGAACTGGTATCCAACCGAGAAGTGCACTTTATGCCCTACAACGCGATGCTATACCAGTGAGTCCATGAGAGCTAATCACTGGGATCTCCAGATACTCGTAAGAAGAGGATTCACTACCACTTCGGTCAAAAGAGGTCAATTTGTTAACCACACCCGGGTGCTGTATACGTGTCTCAGAGACAACATACACTCATGGCTAGAGACTCTAGAGTTCTGGTGAGCGATGTTTGCTGTCCGATTCAGCAGAGGGTTCCTACATGCAATCGGTGGAGGGTTCTTAAAAAACTAGAATGAGATATCGATGGCTTTGATCATTGGCAGTGGTCTCAGAGTGAGAGGACGAGGAGACTAAGAGGTTCACCATCAGTTTCAGAAGGTGCAGGGAAGATAGGAGACAAAGCTGATTCAGATAAATAGTCAAACGAATATTTCTGGCAGAGATTTTAGCAGAAGTTCGCTGCGTAATTTGAGGTCAATTATTGGTCATTTGAGAGGTGGTATGACAACACACCCCACAAATCGCACTTTGTATTATGACTCGCATAGCTTACTTGAATATTCGAAGCCACTGAAAGAGCTGGCTGACGGAAGATTGGTAGTCTGTTAACGTTGTTTAAACAGGGGTCATACAGTCAAGTTTTGGAACTGCAGACTCAGATGAATGTACGAGAACAGAAATATAGACCACTACTGTGCTGCATGTGGCAGACGATGAAGCTTAAAGCAACTGGAACAACAGTTCACCCACCAAAGGAAATGAGGCCTCCGAAAACAAACTTAGTGGCCTTTCCAGTGAGGCCGACGTGTCCAAAGGGGAGCCCTGAGACTCATGAGATACTGAGCGACGGATTGGATGCGTCGTTGGTGTAAGAACAAATCGTTGAGGATCTAGGCGTTATTGGTAAGATGTCCTCCTTGAGTGTGGTCGCCACCAATGGGACTTCACAGCACAAATCCCTAGAGGTGAGCGTAGAACCTTACTCACCAGACAGGCAGGGTTCAGTGAAGATACGAAGGGCATGCACTTTTACTTACCTACCAAGCGTGGGTGCGCATGCCTCATCTGAGAGACAGATTAAAGCCTAGAGCCCTTTGACAGACATTAACGTACCATGAATACGTAGTGGTACTATCGGATGTGATGTTCCAGAAGCATGCTAGGCCCTAAAAAGCGTCTTTGGGGTAGAAATAAGCCGCCTGGGTCAATACATCCCGTAGAGAAAGATACCACAACTGAAATCGCGGATCATTCTTCTAGACCAGCCAATAAACATCTTGAGATTAAGCTGCCCTGCTGTTTTGGAAAACCTAGCCCACCCAATGATTATGAGACGCCTAAACGCAGAATTGAGAAAATGGTGAACAAGGTATAACAACCTAAGGGAATTCAGATAAGCAAGGGAAAAAGAGCCATCATGTGATGGGTAAGGAAAAAAGAGATCTATGTAAGGTTAAGTCGAGTGTCACCGGATAGTCGTGACCAGGGAGGTGGACGAGTGCTGACACTTAAGTACTAAAATGAGCTGGTAATTTTGGACTCCCCGTGTAGCTTAGCGCTAACCCGTGTGTGTCAACGTGTTTATCAAACAGTCTGCTGAATGGTCGTTCAGTGAGGGCCACTGCCATACCTTGTTGTGAGGCTTTCCACAATACATGCGTTCCTAGTGAAAAGAAGTCGGCTTTGGTCCCGGTATTAGCTTTTTCGTGAGCAAACCCTGATGGAGCCAGGCGTTACTGTACTCTGGAGCCTCAACCGTTTGCTGTGACGGTGTACCTAATGAGTGGCCCCACGGTCCGTTAACAGGTCTCCTCATTTCCTGCAGCGGTTTGGGTAAATAGGTCAAGTTAGAGCAGCCAGTCAAAATATGATTTGCCTCACCGGTCCGTGACTTAATTGGTTACCGTTTCCGGCAACTTGTCTAGGTAGTCTCACCGTCAGTAAGGTACTAAAAGTGGGTTGTTTTGACCGGGGGCTCGGGGCGTGGTGTAGTAAGGTCCTCAAAATAGCATGACGAAGAGTTTGGAAATTGGAGCCCTAGCGGCCTCGAGTGTAACGTATAATAATGCTTGTCTTTGTGACGATCTATTTATGGTCCACGCTATTTTTTCAGAGTTGCAGAAACTAAAGCCTAAATTTTCCTCTTTCGTCGCCTGGAGAATAGTGTGGCCTTCTGTGGTATACCTAACTAAGTTCGCTTCAGGGGATCGTAGGTAAATTACTTAGCACTTTTTCATATCAGTGATTCGGGGCGTTTCCTATGTCCAAGGATTCCAGTCGTGCAGGGTCATTCTGAAGCTATTCCAGATTCCCACTGTGATCTATCGCCCACCACACTTCGATGTCAACCGTCAGTACAAAGACAGTGAGGTGAAATTCTCGTGGACAAGTCGTTTACGGCGAGCAGAAGCAGATGCAGAACGTATAAAGCCCCTAGAGACACTGCATATATGGGAACCCTCCGTAAACAACAGGTTATCATTAGTTTGCTGCGGTATTTTTCTACATTTCACTCCTGACTTTTTTCGTGGGTTTGTGTGTTATTGAGGAATATTCATTGTTTTAAGGGATAAAAACTCTTGCCGAAGTACTAGAACACTTTCCAAGGCGAAGAAAACCAACAACAATTAGTTTCTCTTTTGCATATTTTCCTCAAACGGCACGTCAGACGAAGTAAGGTCTACTGATTTTAGCACATCTGCGTACCAAGAACCTTGGTGAGCATCTAAACCCATTTAGAAAACGTGGGGGAAATGATATTTAGCGCAGTCTTCAGAGGTACAACTTCAAATTTTACGCAACTGAAATGCAAACGAGTCGGCGTGGGTCCTTCGTATCTTCCTATTCTCTACTGTAAATGGATGGCCTTCCAAGTAATGTTTCTGACTAAAGCCTTACGGCAATCTGTTGGAATGCATGGCGTTGTGGACTGGATGATTGATCGTTGTGATATTTTTCAATAGTTACAAAACCATCTTAGAAATTTCTGCCCTTAACGGAACGGCAAATTTTTTATCCCTCAGCCAAGTAGACTACGGCCTCACTTTCAAGCAGATACGAGTTTCACTGAACTGTAGATTAACTTGGTGGGTACGTCGGTTTCTCATCAACCATCAGGTTTTAAGAATAGTTTCACAAGTCAAGACAAAGCAAATACGTTTGCCTGAATGTTTTCAGTCAGAATTTAACAGAAATATTCGGATGACACGACTATTATGTTCCATTTTGCTGATTCTTGTATCCGTACAAAAAACGGATTTCAACAT